GAAACCTTTAGTAGAGGGCGCCGCTGTCGCGAAAGGGATCTCGGAAACATCTTTGCGTAATTAGAGAACGGAAGTGTGATAGGTGCGGTTAATTGAACAGTCGAAATGTAATGACCACTGCCTTCTTTGTACCCAGTTAATGATGCTTTATTAGGACGAAAGTTCTGCTTAAATGATCGATGTTTCTTTGGTTAGCAATTTGACCTTAATCAGTAATATAGCTAATATTAAAATTTTCAAGATTATATCTAGGTATCTTATCAAAATAATTGCATTCAGGTAACAAATTATCTTCAAGTATTAATCCAAGATTATTTAAGATAAAGAATTTCTTAGTAAGTACTCGATTACAAATGGAATTACTCATAGAAACCGCTAATTTTTACACCATAAATTGATGACAAAAGAGTTGCGAATTTATAGCAATACCTAGTGCTCAACTATTTACCGAGTCATTGAGAAAGAGGCCGATGAGGCGAATCGATGTCGCCAATACGCATCTATGACCGGCTATAATAAAATAGAATGTCTTTGCGATTATGATCAACTGAAACAGCAGTTTCACAATGCGTCCCAAGCTTGCATTGTGTGTGTTTCACAATCACTGGATGTGCCATTATGTAATACTTATATTTTAGAACTTAGGACTGATTCTAATCTGATGTGCTTTTTTATGGCATGGCGGATCACCACGGATAGTAAGCAATCGGTGTCGCCCATGGACACCTGGAACACCAGAGGCGTTACAAGTGCGTAATTTTTGTTTGAATAATCGAGTTTTTATTTTATGTGATTAGTTTAGTAGACAGAGACAATTCCTTGTCAGAAATGGTATATGATGTTCATTGGTAAACGTTTTAAGGACATAAATATAAATGTAATTCAGGAATGTCGACACATGTCTGCATCGTTATTAAAAACATGCCAGACACTATTAGTGTCAAAATTGACACGAGCCGATGGCTTTGTCATTTTAATTGTTAGTCCATAAAACAGGCTTGATGTATGCCATAAAGTGTCGGTGTCGCAAACCAGATTTCAACATAGAGACAAACTAGTAAACAACGCGACGACACTCATCAGACGCAGTTAACTTTCCTCGAGTTTCCACAATTAGCGCAATTTGCGTTAATGCGCCCGCGCCGACGACGTTAGATAAACTCTTGCGCAGATCCGATCAGTACTATACAGCGTGTGACCGCTATAACTGGGATGGAATTAAGATAAAACAAAATGATAACGAAGACGTTTATTCATCTAATACTTATCATTTACAATATTAGTCCGACTAACTGACCACATTACCATGTGATGTTAGAAATTAATAACATGAATGTCTAAGTTACGCATTAATTGTTAATCGTATTATTTTCCTGTTATTTTATAAATGTTATTTACGGGATCTAATTGATTACCTTGTATGCAAATCAAGCGTTCATTTCCATGTAACTGTGAATAAAAATAACAAATGAAGAGATAGCATACTTTTGACAGATGATGTAACATTTTTGAAACATTACTCATCCGTAACCAGTCGCCTCGGGGTTATCGCAATTATAATTACGAATCAATTTTACTTTTTTGTGCGAATAGATCTTTTAATAAACTATGTGTCATGTTTAATCCAACTAGCAATAATTGAATTATGGTAATCTTGTTCCTATTATAAATCAAAAGCTTTGTAGGTAAGTGTATAATGTATCTTATTGCTACCTCAAAAACAACTGGATAGATTTTTATGAAACTTTAGCAACAAAATAGAACACGAACATGCTGACAGAGTGCAAATGTTTATGTGAATATTTTATTCCCAAGATTAATTAACAATGTGTTATTTCTAATAGAATCCTGTTCATAAAAAACAACGTCCTGTACACAGTTTAATACGATACATGGCGCCCATGGCGGTCCGGTACCGGTTTACATTCGAAACTTAAATCTAATTCCCGCTCAATATTATTCTAATTATAAGTTTTATACTTACGACCTGCAATAATCTGTGGAAACTAATACTGATTACAGAACTTAACAGTAGAAATTATAGAAGATGTTACTTAAATCCTTGTCTGAATCTTAAAAGTATAAACACTTTAGCAGGAAAATATACTTTTGAAGCTTAAAATCTGACTAAACGGATTGAAATTGAAATTGATAGACTGTGATGTTTCGTTTTTTTTCTTTCTTTATACCATAAGCCGGTATACGAGCAGACGGATCACCTGATGGTAAGCAATCGGCGCCGCCCATGGACACTCGAAACACCAAGGCGTTACAAGTGCGTTACCGGCCTTTTGGAAATTGGGAATTTGAGGATTGTGGAGGATTCGGGGATTCGGGAGACGGGGACTAGGGAGGGGGGTAATTGGACCTCCAGTAACCTCACTCACATGACGAAAAACAACACAAGCGTTGTTTTACGTCGGTTTTCTGTGAGGCCGTGGTATCACTCCGGTCGAGCCGGCCCATTCGTGCCGAAGCATGGCTCTCCCACACTTGAATTTTTAGCATGGTCTAAACATAGTATTTTTTATTCCGGGACAAACAAACAGAAGTTCACCTGATGGGAGCGTCAGCGCCGCCCAAGGATATCCGCAACACCAGAGAAGTAATTGCGTTTACGGCCTTTAGGTGTAAAAATAAATAAACAATGTGAACAACCTCTTGTGTTGTATTTCATCGTGTGAGTGAGGTTACCCGAGGCCTTATCCTATAAACTTCTCAATCCTTGAATCCCCAATAATCCTCAAATGCCTAATCCCCAAAAGGCCGGTAACGCACTTGTAACGCTTCCGGTGTTCCGGGTGTCCATGGGCGACGCCGATTGCTTACCATCAGGTGATCAGTCTGCTCGTTTATCCTATAAAAAATTGAACAACTACCTATAATTATTGTAATCTTAATATTATATGCGTCCATAAAAACTTAAACAGTCAATTTGATATTTTACAACACAAGTTGTTGAATGAAATCTTTTAGATTTTCTTTCAGATAATCTGTACGTTGCTTAATTACTTTAATAATATAATTATGACTAGAAAACATTTTTATGTATCCCTAAGTGTCAATAGGACTTTCTCTTGTCCATTCATGAAACTTTCTAGATTTCTGTGCATGGCATTGTCCACGATTGAAATATTCTCATGCATGTGACAATGTTTTGACGAAATTGGTATTTTTGTCTTGCCATTTGTAAATCAATATTAAACCTTATGATGATGGCCAACGAACTAATATACCATGACAGAGTACTAATACAAAAGTATTTTCAGGTCTATTCCACTAGTGGTGTAATAGAAGCCGGGTAAGGGAGGTTACACTTGCAGAATCATACCGTCCTGGCAAACCCTTTGAGTCTGTTTTCAATGCGTGTCCAACTTGTTTACAGGAGCCTGTAAATATTGGCTGTGTCTCCTGTACTCCTGTCGTCAAATAACGAACATATCTACGTTCATAAGAACACAAAAAAGTAACAAATACTTTTGAACAGTTTTTGTTCTTTAAAATTTTTAATTCAGAGCTCCAACCAATTTACATACTTTTTTAATGATATGAATTTTGGAATGGATATGTAGATAGAGTCTAAAGACCTTAAAAGGAAGCAGCTGAAAAAAGGAGCAATCAAAATTATTTTTTTATATTTATAAATTAATTTCAAAATTAATAATGAACTAAGTATAATTAATAGCATTAGAAGGATTACACTTAACAATAATACATGAAGTCGTTTGACTCAATATTATTATGAAATGTTGTTTCCCAACTATTTCTAAAGTTGTCTAGTGACTACTGTTTTATTAAGATGTTCATGTTGATCTTTGTGTTACATCCGTTGACGTCAGTCGTAGAGTGATACATGTTTGGCACTAAACATTCGTTTCATACTGATAGATTGTGCTTGAGTGACTATTTTTCTCTGTTTGTAAATTTATATTTTCGTAAAGTATCTTTAAATAATTCTTCGGAACGTAATGCTTAGAACAACTCCACACTTATCCCTATTTCAAGATCTTTGGTATCCTAAACAAGGTAACTGAAAATTTTCTAATAGTTTACCGTGCAGCCAAATAATAAACAGTTTTATTTTACTAACACCATTTTAATCAAATGTTGATGAGTAATATACCTACTGTTAACATATTTTTAATAAACAACCTCGATCATTGATTAGTTTAAGTCCATTGGAATTGCAAACGACGAAGGAACGACCAATTTATTTACGCACCCACATTATGAATGCTTCGAGGTACCTATCTAATTAAAATTTATGCGCGTACATTAAGTTCTTCACTTATCTACAGTCGCGCGTCTTGTTTATGCTGCCAGTATAGGTATTTTAGAATCCGACCACACTGACATGATCACTAATGTTAGTTTCATTAATTCCGCAGAAAGCGGTTGCATGCTTGCGTGGTGCAACTGGAACCGGACTCGTGTTAATGCATAGTGCTTTCCAACCCTTCCATGAACGCGGCTAAATCTTTTATCGCTACCAAATCGTCTGTCGTAAATCCCAAGTCTCGGCCCATTGTTGCCGTACACGGTACTTATATGGGAGCGACCAAAATAAATCACGAACAAAACCATATCGGCGCGATCGTAGACTATCTCGGTCGGATCGACCGCGGGGGACTACATCGAGATACGGAGATATTACGCTATTGAATTAGCATTACCGCTGTTCTCGATATTGTTGTCCGCGGCCAGAGGCATGCCTCATAATTCAGCGTCGCATTATTTTAATTTTCGTCGTGCGTCCTCCTCGAGGACGGCTTGCGGAATCGTGCGAGATCTCTCCTCCCGATACTATTAGACGCATAATCCTCACATCTCCGTCCAGTGCGGGAGCGTGTGGCACCTGTGGCACGTGTGGACCGCATTTCCCCATCGTCTCGCGTGTTTCTAAGCTCTACGTGTCTCTGCAGATGGAGATGTCCACTTAAGATTACCGGTACGCGCCTTCATTATAATCGCATCAATAAATGCCATTGTTTTTGTTACAGGTAGCTCAGCGACCTGAATGATCTTGACATCGACAGCTCCACCTATTAAACGTAAGTCACAATATAATTATTTTTTTGCAGGGAATATTCCACTCAAGCATTGTTTATTTCCTTGTGGGGTCATTGCTTCCTTTACTCAACTTTATTATACACATGTATTTTATGACATTCACTGGAATCTATAAATTATCTTCCAGTTTAATTAACCGAATATGTATTGTTGATAACGTATCTCTCATCCGAAAGTAATCAAATGTTGGCCTGAATTTAAGGCAATTTGGTAAACAGTTGTGCCATATGACCGTAATAAACGTCCAGTTACAATCGTATATCTAAAAGATATGAAATCATATTTAGTCAGTGGTCGTTTTCCCGTCGAGTGTATCATTATTGATTGAATGATAAATCCATCGATGCTCCTGACAAATAAAACCATTATTCAATTACGATCACGTCGCACGCCCGATACGATTGTCACTTGACCGGAGCGGACCCGGGGAATCAAATCAAACGTTAACCTCAATAATGGTATCGGTGATCTATCGGTGGTTTGGACCAATATTGGAGATATTGAATAATAATTGGTGCAGACGAGGCGAGCAGGGCGGGCGTCACGATGGAGATGGTATCTGTCGAGCGTGCCGCATCCATCAGCCCTCGATGTGCACTATCTGTGCCGGTATCGCGCGCCAACGATAACCATTGTCTTACTGGACGATTATATCGGCGAAATTTGTGCTCGCCTCCGATCGACCGTTTGTCTTTTGCCGCAAATGAGCCGGATAATGGAGGATGCCGCATAAAAGGTGCGCGTTTGTGCTAAACTTTTGCTTAGTCATTAATACGCCGTGGGAACGGAAAGTGTCCGACATGAGACATCTAATTTTAGTTGTTATATAAAACTAGTGTTGGATAGGTATCTACATTCACGACGATTGTGATTAACTTTTTGTCCGTGTCGGCAAGCTGTAATTTACTGCTGCACAAAACGCAGGCGCAGTTGAAGTACTAGTAAATATATTCATAACTTAATTAAATTCCATTGCAAATTTGAGCTTTGAACTTTTCCAGTGGAAGTACTGGCTTAATTGGTCCTAACACAGTATTTCATATTGAGAACAGTGGTTCTGTCCACATTAAATTGGCCGAGTCATGTGCAGTTGACAGCGGACAAGGTGCACGCGTTTAAGCTCAGTGCTCCCGTTCGCGACCGCGACCACTTAATAGCATTAGTGTCATTGTCTCGGGATCATTAATAAGTCGCTGGACAGTTCTATTGGCCGGCACGCCATAACGGGCCTTACCGTGTACTGGCCTCGTGTCACGAATTTGTATCGTAATGGCCTTAGGGGGAGTTACGATCGCAGACTCCAATGTTCCTGGATATCTGGATAGTTACGCGCCTCGCCCCACCTACGGACAATGGTGTATGGTTTCGCTCTGCGTTTTATTAGCTATCGTGAATTTAATTTCATGTTCGATTTAATCGAAATCGACTAGGAAATATATACGGCTGTAACTTGGTATGTAAGTACAGTAGCCCAAGGTATAAATAGTTTTGCAATTATGGTTGTGCGACGACCGGACGCGGCTATTGTTACACTGTAAATGAGTTAGGTCTTGTTGCAATTTATTTTATACAATTATATCAGTGACGAACCGGCACATGGGAAATCTTAAACACTCGAAAATTGAGAAGATTATTCGTTACATTTTAGGAATTCCCGCTTGCTTGTTTTGCAACATGTGATTATTACTTGTCCATCAGTTCATATCACACATGTTTAGTCATCAGTGGGTGGATATCAACTCACTGATAACTTGGAAGTACATATCTCCATATCTCCTCAATATATTTATAATAATATGTTATTATATATGGAGGAGAGGAGGAGAGATCTCTCCAAGTACATTCATGTACCTACATATGGACAAGACATTTATTATAATCCTAAAATTAGCACACCTCTGACACAGATTCATTTCATCGTCACCGGCGACAATTGCTAAATCGCTGCCTCAATTTTAACGGACAGCTGTAAATCTATTTAACTGGTGTGGAGCGTTCCACGCGTCCGTACATCAATTAAGTCCAATTAGCCAAGCGACTCGGCACTACCTCTTTGATACACCGACGACGGATTAACAACCGACTTCTGAATTACTCCGATTTGTCGATAACATCCACTCGCTACTATTAACAAATCAAGTCTTGTTTATTTATAGCCGGCTAGATAAGCTACTTTCCAGGAAGCGTTGATTATGAACAATTAATTACATTTCTGTGCAAGCAACATTTGCAAGTTCTCGCGCTTGTTGTTATTACGCGTCGTGATAAACGCCGATGGTATATTTCTTAATTGCCCGTTGCATGATACGGGCACTATCGAAGCACTATTTCCAACATAATAAGCATTATCATTACAATAACAAGCTAGTAACTCGCGGCATTCGATGTGCTCATGACGGGAATACGATAACCCGACAGACCGTCTCAGTTGGATTTTGAGTGCAAGAAGCTACACAATACTTGTGTCCCTCCCATTATTTAACATTCGATTTTTTATTATAAAATAAACATTTGTAGGCAACTTTAGTGTTTCAAAGTTTGGAAATAGACATGTGTTTGTGATTGTGATTTTTATTGGATCTTGTGTTGAATAAGTTCGCTAGAACAATGTGAGTTGGTTTCCCTTACATTTAATTAAGCTATCGAAACGATAAGTCAACAATGACCCGGTCGCATCTCTTTCGTGCTAGATCAATGGACATTTCGAAATCCATTCGTGATTGATGGCGCGAGTAATTTACTTTTGAAATGTATAATTAGACTATTGTAAGTTGCCATTGTGTGTTCGATAGTAAGTTTACTAAAGTTAAATTATAAGAGTTCGTGGTTGAATAAGGTTGTTTTTTACGTGTGGCTGAATGGGTCGTTCGTGGTACAGTCTCAATTTCCCAGCAGGCAGTGCCTTCATTAATCATCGTCTCGTTTGTAAAAGGACAGAGATATGGTGTTTGTGTTATTTTAAAAACTTTGTTCTTTCGTTTCTATGTCTTGTGTGGTGTTTGCGAAAGTTCTTTTGTTTACCAAATAGGTTTCTGGGGTAAACGAAAGCTATTTTTGACAGGTTTTTCCTCGTTGCTCTAGCTCGCAGTTGAAAGTATTCAGCATGTAGTAGGTTTGAAATCTGCGTTAACATCTTTGAGTCTTTTGATTTCCGATTCTCAGTCAATGCAGAGTTTAGGCTTGTGTTGCGTTTGACGTATTGGTTACATTATTTTGATTTTTGTAAAATTTCATTAACAGTAGATTGCCTCTACCGAATTAGAGTCGGAAAGACAAAATATAACAGATATCTTTTGTTTTTATTTCTTAGAATATTGTTCTTATTAACCATGTGAATGAAAAGGGAAGGTAACGCTGGTTTGGACATGTAGAAAGGATGGATGAAAGTAGAGTAACGAAAGAAGTATACAAAGCGGATATAAATGGGGCTGTCGGTATAGAGGGCGCCCTAGACGCACATAATTATATTGACCAGATTGGTGATATATTAAAGAAGGGCCAAATTAAAAGTACCCTTAACCGACGAGCATGCATGAAAAGATTGATGGCTGTTGATGAAGCGAATGAGGTATGTAGGAATCGTAGCAATTGGCATTTCATAGTCTCTATCCCCGTGGGAGACAGGCGTGAAGTTACGTATGTATGTTCTTATTAACCTGGAAGATTGAGAAGTGATATGAAAGAAAACAGATGATGGCGAGTTGTAGGGAGAAGTCATTAATACAAAATCTTAGGTGTCTGCCACTGAGAGACTTCCCCCTAAAAATTGAATCGCTCGCGTTATTAGTTATCGAGATAATACAAATGTCCGGCGTTGGGTGCCGTCCGGCGTTACGGGACTTCTCCCTAATGACGTCTGATAGAAAATAATAAATGATAAAGATTTAGATATTGCACAGATTCAAAGTGAGTTGGAGTAAGGGAATTCTCCTCAGAATAATAATATTATTTAGGGTAATCTCTAAGTAATAATAAGTCCTAATAACGGTCAACCTTGTGCGATTTTTTTAAGGGTGGATATTCATCGAATGACTGCTCCCGCCTGGGTGAGGCGAGAGGGAGTGTCAGACTGTCACTGACTAAAAACCACCCCGTTCCTTCTCCTGCACGTCGAGCTGGAGCCCCGGTAACCCGTTAGGTTCTCCGCGACAACCTTGTGCGAATACGGTCAAGTGATGTTTAACTAGATTAATCAATGTCAAAAAACATTATGATAAACAAACTATATTAATAAATGTCTATCTACATTCATATCTTTACTGAGTTTGTAATTATATTTAATTACTTGTGTATACGTAATTAGTTACATAAATAAATCTTCACTGTCACTGGTGTCCATCAAGTTTTGAAGTTAAATGGATAGGTAGATATTTTATGTCAGAAGTAAACGTGTCGTAAAATATTGATATTTTAATAGATATCCGAACATCAAACTGAGCTGTGGTTTCTCTGACTTGACTAAAATGACTAAACTGATTTTCTAGTAAAGATTAAAGAGTTTTTGGTACATCCATAAAAGTAATTACCATATTACCATACCGTACGAATTCATAGTTGTGTCGTAACTTTTTTGTGTCAAACTAGCGACCCGTCCCAGCTTCGCACGGGTGCAATGTGCATGTATTATACATAGAAACGTTCCTTAAGAATCACTCTATCTATTAAAAAAAAAGCATCATAATCCGTTGCGTAGTTTTAAAGATCTAAGTATACATACATAGGAACAGACAGACGTCGGATAACACACTTTATTTCACTTAAATTAAATAAAAAATATACTATAATTGAGCTCAAAATGTAATCAAATAATGAGAATATCGTTAATTTTATACAATCTAATGCATTTATGGATAATGGTAACTGAGTATTTTTTCGTCTGTATCATCATTCCTATCACAGAAGTCCCCAGAATCGTTATGGTAGGATGTTTAAGGACAAATTATGATTCAATACATTAACATGCAAAGACACAATTGGCTATCTGTCCATATACATTTGCACTTTCGTTGCACATCACGTGCCCAGGGAATTTGGTTCCTTAACACTATTGTTTCCTTAACAGATAAAAGGCCTGTTCATTTCTGCGTGCAGTCAAAATGAAGCTTATGGTTTCTCTAAGCTGACTCTAACCATGATTCGGAGTCGCGGAGAATCTAACGGGTTACCGGGGCTCGACGTGCAGGTGAAGAAACGGGGTGGTTTTTAGTCAGTAAGAGTGACACTCCCTCCCGTCTCACCCAGGCGGGAGCAGTCATTCGAAGATTTTCCCTTCTTACAAAAAAAAACATTCTCCCTCTCGCTTCCACATTTACCTCTGCTCCTCCGCATTGTTTACCTTAAGAAAAAAGAAAGAAAGAGTACCTGATATCCCATAAAAAAAAATTTGATTGAAATCGGTTATTAATTTTGAGATTTGAGGTTACCCCAATTACCCCCCCCCCCTTCCCCAATCTCCCCAATTCCTGAATCCCCAACGATCCTCAAACTCCTAATCCCCAAAAGGCCGGTAACGTACTTATTTTATTTTTTTTTTTTTTTTTAAAAAAACGTTGCCCCACACTAGGATTTTCTCCTGTGTCGTGGGTGCGTTTACAAACATACAAGTTCACATACACAATGACACCCAGACCCGAAACAACAATTTGTGGATCACACAAAGTGTTGTCCCGTGCGGGAATCGAACCCGCGACACGTTGCACGGCAGCCGGTTGCCCAGCCACCGCACCAACCGTGCAGTCACTTGTAACGGCTCTGGTGTTCCAGGTGTCCATGGGCGACGCCGATTGCTTACCATCAGGTGATCCGTCAGCTCGTTTACCGGCTTATGCCATAAAAAAAAATCGGACCAGGCAATAGGTATGTTTAAGCAAAATTGAGGAAACTTTGTTTGTGAAAGATTGTTTACCGCCCCTTCTATTTACACATTTACTACCTTCTATTTATAATATTTACCACATTTACTACGTCATAGATATGACATTACTAATTCGTCCTCATATCACTATTACAATTACCGTTCCATTAAGCCCTTCAAATAATTTTACGAAATGGTATTATCAGTAAGTACTTTAGACATTATTGTACATTAATTTCTATTAGTCATAATTGTAAATTGAGTAGTTATATGTTTTTAAAGTCACAAGCAGCAAGCAGAACCGTGGTTGCTATTGTAAGAGCGGTGTCGCTTGTGTGCCAATGTTCATTTCTTAACATACATTTTTGTGTAATTAATGAAGAAAAATGAATTGTGTGATCCTTTGCCTGTGTGTGTTACTGTGTGGGATTACTAGGTATTTATATTTATTTGATTATTTTTATCAGTTTTCTTTATAGAGCTGTAGTTTGTATTATTGTCGTCGGTTCTTGTTAATCGGTCTAGTGTTTGTTTATGTTTTTCCTAGTATCGATAATTTTAATTTGCTAAAACGTGTATCTGTGTGTGTTTCTGTCCTGTGTATGGCCTTGTGACTGATTTTTAGCAACCTGGTTAATACCTACGTTACAAATAAAATTAAGAAGCATTTGTGTTTAATACACTACACTGGCTTTTATAGTGTTTTAATATATAAGTTGTTTAGTTAATATGTTAGGTACAAATAGAATTAAAAAAAAACGCGTTAATGTTCAAATACCCAAACGCAACTGAATTGTTTCTTCTACTTTAAGTGTAGTTCTGTCACTACAAATTCTTATTAAAATGATAGAGATGACACGATATCACTACATAGTATAAAACAAAGTCGCTAGTCGATAGTCGCTTCCGCCATCTGTCTGTCCCTATGTATGCTTAGATCTTTAAAACTACGCAACGGATTTTGATGCGGTTTTTTTGAATAGATAGAGTGATTCTTAAGGAAGGTTTATATGTATAATAAGAAAGAAAGAAAGAAAGAAAAATAATTTATTCGCCACCAGACATGGACCACCGAAAATTAACAAACAACATAAACATTGAAAAACAAAAAATAAAGAGAAAACAATATAAAAAACATAAAATAACAAAATAAAAAAACAACAATAAAGCCAAAAAAAACATATAAAAAAAAGCAAAATAAAAGAGACAGGGTGGCAGCATGTCTACGACGAAAGGGCTCGCCAACTCAGTATAAGCTGGGCACAGTAAGTACCCAACACTGGTTTTCAGTTGGCACCCCTGCAGTGACGCACGGACGGAAGCAACGAAAAATTATTTAAATAATTATAATACATAAATATTGCACCCGTGCGAAGCATGGGCGGGTGGCTAATTTAAGTATAACTAAAATTTAGTTTAGTAGACTTTCAGTATTTAGGCGTTAGTCCAGTGCGTTTGCCTATATAATATTCTTATGAAATTATGTCATAACGTTATGAATTATGTAATTACAATATAAGGTAAGGAAAAAATTTACTACCTAAGTATATTGTTATGTCAACTTATGTATTACTAATTTTAAACTGAAACTTAATTACGTATATGTTAACCGTTATATTATATAAAATAATAATATTTTTAAGTGTGCTCTAGACAAATTGCAGTTCGGATGTACCTAGTTTGAATGCAATTGTGTCACGACTGTAATTCGACTGCAAACCAAACGTGCAGTAAAATTGCAATTCTATTGCAGTCATGACCAACAGTTGCAAACTAAACGAGCAGTCCGATTGCAGTTCTATTGCAGTCGTGTCAACTGCGTCCAAATTGAACCTGAACTGCAATTTGCAGTTGGATTGCAGTTCTATATTTTTTTATATCCTTATTTCCCTGCAAACTGCTCAGTGGGGCATTTAGCTGGTGGTTAAGAGGTTCATGTATTGTATCATGTTCGGAGAACACCCAGTAGTGTACCCGACTTCAATTATTGCATCCCTCGATTTGGATAAAATGCAGTTCAAATGCAGTTCGTCTGTCTATGCATGCAGTTCAAAGCCTAAAATAGTCTGAACGAATATCTTTGATTACGTCAACGAGTACGTCAACGTTAATGTATGTTGTACCTTCTTTGCTTCGACTCTTTCCGTCCTGAAACCCATTGTGAAATGATTTTAATTATAAATTATAATATATTAGTATAGTAGACTCATGTTAAACAATCTTTTATATTGTGTTAAACTTATTGTTCAGCAGTGGTCAAACATCAAGGATATGTTTTGACGTTTGAAATATGAAACTAATCTGATTTTTGTCGCTTAACAAATGAATGCTAACTTTGTTTTTATTTTATGCATTAGGAATTGTTGCTATTATATCAACAGCCTATAAGTGGCCATTGCTGAGCAAAGCCTCTTCTCACACTGAGAAGGTATGAGCATTAATCACCACGCTTGCTCATTGCGGGTTGGCGATTTCAAATTTATAATTAGAAATTATAAGCCCAGGTTTCCTCACCATGTTTTCCCTCACACTTTCTCAGTAGTTACTACTAATTTGTTGTTGTTATTGAATTGCGATGAAACTTAATCATTTGCTTGCTTCTTATAAAATTTATAAATGACTCGAATTTTATCATTTATTCAAAGGTTGTTATAAAGAGAGAAATCGCTTTTCTCGCGCTTTAATTGTTTATATAATGTCAGACAGCAATCCATATTTTCTAAACACGTTAATTACAATTTTAACTATTAGCATAGTTAACACATGTCTTCATATTAATATTAAAACTATATACTACTAGCCTATTTATTACAATAATTTGATAATACATACGGTTTCCGGACGGGAAATATCAAGGTAAAGTTTAGTCTAACTTAAGTGCATAAACGTTGACTATTCATCGGTATATTGGTAATTCCAGACTGTTGTAATAAAATTCCATTCACGTAATAGTGTGGTTATATTTTCCCACCCAGTGCTATTCAATAGATGGCGCTAGTTAAACGTTTGGTTTTGTTCGTCCTTACATAATAGCTGTCAAAATACAAACGTATTGACATAATGGCCTAATAATGTTAAATAATAACAACAATAAGTTGCTCCCGTTGGTGCCCGTAAAATACTGACGTTCAACATTCAATGAATTCTGATTAAAACTCAGAGCTAACCATAATAAATATTGGGAAATAAGGACACAAGTGAGAGAAAGCGGCCAGACTCCATATTTCCTACTTCCATACCTGGTGTCAAATTCTTGTATATGTCCGTCTCTAACCGAAGAGCAAAAGGACTGTTTGAGTATCTGACAGAATTTTTATTTTTATAATAACTATCGTGAGACATACTAAATTAAGTAAAAACGCGGGTTACTCACGTGAATATACTGAGAAAAGCTCTACTAATTTCGAACCACAGAGGAGTTCTTCCTCATGAGCACCTCGTGCGCGACGTCGCCGCGACCGCGCACGCTGCTCATGAGGAAGTAAGTAACCCGCGTTTTTACTTAATTTAGAATTTTTATTGTAATTTATTTAGGAATTTTTATCACGAAAGATGTGGCAACCCCATGATATCTGACTGAAGTTACAAATAAAGAAACTCTCTCAATTTCGAACCTAGCAATAAATAACTTCATTTCTGATTCCATATTTCCTGGAAATGATAAACCACACAATTTACATAAATTAAGTAGGTACGTTAATAATAACGTCTTTAAAACTTAAAGGATAAAGATAAAAATAGGTGTTGATTAACGATGCTGTCATACGTTCACGATGATGTGGTAGCTAAAGTCATTAACTGATTCAACATTATTTGTTTGTGTTTACACGCCAATTCTTGATAATCTTGACCATTAAAACAGTTTATTTATTTCGGTATTGAGATTAAAGAATGTTTAAACAATGACTAATTTTCTTTGCGCAACAAGACTAAAGGCAAGCGCACTAGTGATTGTGACGCCTCTCGTATTGTTTGTGTCTACTGGTACTGCTGTTACCATTAAGTGATGCATTTACTTGATGATTCCATAATTATGTGTGTCTGAACAATATGTTAGGATTCTTTGTATTCATGTCGTGTAGTCGTGTCTGGACTGCAATAGCAACAATTGCAAATCAAATATGCAGTCGGATTTCAGTTCTATTGCAGTCATGACCAAATGGTTGCAAACCAAACGAGTAGTCCGATTGCAGTTTCTTCAACGTTTCACATGCCACATTAAGCTCTAGACAGACGGACCGGATTTCAACTGCAATCCAACTGCAAATTGCAGTTTGTACGCAGTTGACACGACTGCAAAAGAATTGCAATTGCTTGACATCTTAGGCATATTGTAGAGACGGTTTTGTTTTTAAGGGGGGAAAATCATCGAATGACTGCTCCCGCCTGGGTGAGGCGGGAGGGAGTGTCAGACTCTTACTGACTAAAAACCACCCCGTTCCTTCTCCTGCACGTCGAGACGGACCCCCGGTTACCCGTTAGGTTCTCCGCGACATTGTAGAGACGGTTAAGTTACTAAGTTATACTTCATTCTGTCAAAATTTTATAGTTTTTTACTATGCAATAAAGCTGAGAATCCGCTCTGTACATGATAATTACTTTAGGGAAACTTATTTTCATTCAGTGACAACCTTGAAGGTACAAAGATATTAACGCTCGGGGTTTTTTCTTAACATCGCATCGGTTTAATTACTCCGTATTTATAAATAAGATATCTCCTTGTTAGCTGTTTAATTACTTATTTACTGTATTATTGACGGGCTGATGTTCCACGCTTGTTTTATCTCGACTATTTAGTTGTAGGTACCTACCCCCACAGCTCTTATCTCCCGAGCATTACTAATTTCCTCTTATCTCGCTGCTAACAGTTATTCCTTGAATTATCGCTTAGTCTTGTTATAGTTACGGTCCATTTGCTCTTTACATAACATTCATTTTTACCACATCTCAGTACAAATATCGATTTAGTACAAAATGAGGCTATATTTATTACTTTATACTGCCCATTTTAACCAAGCTCTTTTAAATTTTAAGGAACTTATGCTAGGTAGACCCGCCTAGGTGAGGCGGGAGGGAGGGTCAGACTCTTACTGACTAAAAACCACCCCGTTCCTTCTCCTGCACGTCGAGCCGGAGCCCCGGTTACCCGTTAGATTCTCCGCGGAAGACAGGTTTAGGATAGGGTACATTTAACGTAAATTTTATAACCGACTTCAAAAATTGGAGGTTCAATGTGTGACCTGTATGTGTGTATGTTTATCGCGATTATCTCGCTATTGGCTGAACCGATTTTGATGCGGTTTGCAGAAAAGTGGTTGTTACACTTAACAGAAGGATTAAGTATATTAATTAAGCGACTTCAAAAAAAAAAAAGAGGGGATTGAAGTCGATTTTTTTAAACGCAGTTTATAAAACAATTATGTTTTATCAACCTATAAACGACATCGGAAAGTACAAGTCAGGGGTTTGTTTAGGAGCTGCGCTACTTCACTTTAAGTGACAGTTTAATAGTGTTTGGTGAAAACGGCCATAAGTGTTACAAAATTATGCGAATACTCAATACTGGTTAGGTTTAGTTTTTTCCCCGTTCGTTGGAAAGTTATTTTCTACCTGGCAATGCAGGGATTTACATCGGCGCCGGCGCAATGTAAATGAACACGCGCTGGAGTTGCCGTGCGCTGTGTCACTCGTATGACCCGCCGGCATTCGGAATACATTACCGAGCCGTAAGACAATTGAGTAAGTGTGGCGTCGATCATCGGCGACGCTTCTATAATTGTATGGGTACTTTATGAGGTATCTTTTGCTTTAAAGAGGTACCTATACTCAGTATGTTGGGGTTTTGTTGCAAAAAATTGATTGATTTTATATCTAAGTTCTGAGCAATTACTATAATTGCAATGTTTACAAATTTTTTTCTGTGTGTGCAATAAAGAATAAATTAATAACTGAATGATTGTATTTTGTTGAACAAAATCCTAAAAAACCTTGCAATTATTTCTGTACTGCTGAAGTCTTTAAAACAACGATCTCCATAATATTCGTTAATTCTCTGCTTTTTGATCGTTGTTGTCTAAAAAAGTCACTTTAAAGAAATGTTTGGACTGTTAAAATTTAAATTTTGATGTACTATTTGATCGGAAATTACTGGGGTCGTATTTGTCACTATTTTGCATTACCTATTTGTGGTTTATCAGCAAAACTTATCAGATCGGACCCAACTTTCAGCAGTGAATTAACTTCACTGGAAGAGACTTAAAATTTATTTTCAACTATAAGTTAACTAACTGGACATAACAAAACGCAGTAAACACAAACGAACAAGCATCACACATAACCCTAAAACAGAAAAGAACAAAACGACTCACAGAGCTTAACAAGTTTTCCGAGAACCGTGTAGATGATAGTAATGGTCATTTGTACACTTATACACCTAATATGTTTAATATTCATTCTCATCTATTAGTCGTATGTAACATAAACACTTCATTGCTTGTATCCGGTTTACTCAGACAAGATATTAATCGTAATAGGTACGGTTTTGTTCAATGAACCCTCTTGTGGGACATCACTAGTCTGTGTCCAATATTTTATCACTACTGAGTCCAATACTGTTCGTGGGTGAATAACCTATGGTTCTATTATTTGTTATAGTGATTTAGAGGCTCGATATTATAATTTAAAGTCCAGTTTTGTGTGAATTTTTAGCGCAGTCTGGTTGTCATTGACAATATATTTGTTAATGAAGGATTATGTGAATTATTCTTTATGTCTTAACTGTCTCGTTGGTAAAGTCGAAAGTGCAACTTCTAAGTTACTGAATGTAGTACTAACTGGCCTTTTATTTTTAAAGTTCTCAAGCTTCGGGCCCAAAATTGTATTCAGTTTTTTTTGCTGTCTCCGTACACCATTTAAAGATGGGACTTTGCTACATAACCGATAACATATACATGTTTTTCTACAGTTTCGGTGAATAAGAAACGTATAATAATGCAAAACAATTTAGGCTTATAAATTGCGTGATCATGAAACATGATCTTCTTTGTCTGTGTGAGAAGAAGTCTTTGTTTAGCTGCAGAACAGCTCTCGGCTAATGATGAATCATCAGTCTGTAAATGCCCTAATCCTTAGAACCCATACAGAAGTATGGGTTCGTTAATAATAATAAAAAATTATGATAATGTTAACTTAATACCTGATTATTATCCACAGAGTTAGCATGGTGGTGGTGCTGAACGGCGTGCTCGCGGACGAGTGCCCGACATCAGTGCGCGCGCTGCTGGCCGCGCACCCTGGCTACAGAGATGCGGCTGCGCAACTACTAGCGGCCGCCGCTAGGGTTGTACCACCGCCTGGCTTGCTGTATGTCGGTCAACGGGAGTTAGCGGCTGTGGTACCACATGACAGTGAGTATTATGTAATTTTTTTATGTCTTAAGCTGCAGTCCCGAGTGTCTTATAAAGGTCGCTCTCCGACCAATTAATAATGATAATGGTGTTCTTCTATCAAAGACGGCTATTGAGCCACTCCAATCGAATGCTTTTAAGAAGCAAGGAATTAGGATAGGTAGTAAGAATTGATGAATGAAATAATAATAGTGTTCATGCAGATTACAACGATTAAGGTCTTGGGTCTTCATTGCATGTAATTAACTGTTCCGTTGTATGCAGTTTTTTTTTAAACAGACTAAAGGTTTATTTGCGCAACTAGTTTTAAAAGAATAATTATTAATAGTGCCAAGCCAGTTTTAATTTATAATGTCTAAAAGTGTCTATTTGACCACTGTGCGAAGGTCCATCTATCTCACATAAATATAACTGTTGCTTATGAACTACCTATTAGATAATTATTATAATTGGACTTTAACCGATCGACTACTAGAGAAAGTTTGGGAGCAAGATGCGCAATACTAACTTTATGTTCAAGTCTAACTAGTAGGCTATTACAGGTAATTTTTATTACTTAAGATAATACAGTAACTTAATTTAAGTATCAATTTATTTTACTTACGGTTTGTTTATCAATGTTTCAGAAAACGTCAACATCATTGGATCAGATGACGCCACATCATGTATAATCGTCGTTATCAGGCATTCAGGTAATTTGAACAGCATCCTATATATTAAGGTATGTCGCGGAGAACCTAACGGGTAACCGGGGCTCCGGCTCGACGTGCAGGAGAAGGAACGGGGTGGTTTTTAGTCAGTAAGAGTCTGACACTCCCTCCCGCCTCACCCAGGCGGGACAAGTCAGTCATTCGATGATTTTCCACCCCTTAAAAAAATCCTATAAGTTAAAGTATTTGCTAATTAGAACTTCTTCAGCCCAAAACTTATTCTTTCTTAAGTAGCACAACTTTATCTTTAGAAGTAAATATAATTATTATTGTTCTTCTATGTACCTGTACTCTATGACGATTAGCGATTGATGTTCATTTTTATTTGAAGTTTTTGTTTTATTTTGTACCGGTCACCCTTTTTATTGGGAGCGGAACAACCCAATACACAGCGCCGCCGACTGACGCCTCAGCTCTTGTTACGTTGGCTGATTCCAACAGAGCTTACAATAGTCCAAAAGTTAATTTGTTAGTTTTTATATCGACATATTTCTGCATACACATTCCCTCGTGTTGCATCCGTTTTATCACAAGGAACATTCCCTACCCAAAAAAACACCCAGAACCGCTTCGTCTCTGTGTTTTAAGAAGACTACTTCAATTTGAGTTAAAAGTTTAGTACTTTTTGCCTCAGCTCCGAAATCGTTGTCGTTCTAATTACGAGCCGATACGACCTTCAAGAGAAGACCGTACTACTATTTAAACCACTGGCAACACACTTGAAATTCGTCTGGTTTTACGGGTATCCGTGGGTATCTCTAATCACTTACCATTATCCGTCTACTCGTTTACTCCTTGTCCCATAAATAAGTAGAATTTTAGGTACGAACCGATACGACCTTCAAGAGAAGACCGTACTACTATTTAAACCACTGGCAACGCACTTGAAATTCGTCTGGCTTTACGGGTATCCTTAGGTATCTCTAAGCACTTACCATTATCCGTCTACTCGTTTACTCCCTGTCTCATAAACAAGTAGAATTTCACTTTCAACCACAACATGTCGAAACTCGTTCTTTACTGACAATCTATCACTTTTCAGGGTCAGGTGCAGTAGCTCTAGCCCACTTAGATGGGTCCGGCACAGCGGAGGCGGCGACCGCGATGGTGTCGCGAGTCCAACAGCTGGCCGTGGGGTACCCGGAGGGTAGGCTCGAGTTACAGCTCGTTGGAGGCTTCACAGACCCTCACCGATATTCCGATGAGCTGTTCGCGAATATTATGTGTAAGTTTCTTTAACATAATAATGTTAGATAATGAAAGTAGAATTTATTTGTTATCACCGCTATTTATTTCGGTGGAGTCTTAAGAGCCAGGACTACACATTTGAGAGAGCCCAGGCAGTAGCGATCTCTGATAAATCTGAACCGTTCGAACTATACTTCTAATCGGTCGGCAAGCAGATTATGGCAAATTCCTCTTGCGTAGAGCAGTGATGTGAGATGCTGGAAAAAGGTTATGTGCGTGGTAGTAGTACTAACTGTAGTGTTCATCAAATACTTGCGTCAGATAGTGGAAGCTAAAGAAGTAGGTATATGAAGATCGTATTCAGTTTCTTCCTACCATAACATAACATTGTCAGCCTTTAATCGCCGAAGGGGTAGTCAGAGGTGCACATTACGGCACTTAATGCCACTGTACAAAGTAACACCCACTTTTTACTATTTATGTTATAAGTCCAATTTAATAGGGGGTGAGCCTATTGCCATATACCGGGCACAATTCCAGATTCCGTGCTACTACTGAGAATTTTTTTATAAACCCAGTAGGTAGTACTTCGCCCGACCCGAGAATCGAACTAGAGACCCCTTGCCAGGCAGTCGCATTTGACACCACTCGGCCAACGAGGCAGTAAGTTTCTCATTTCTTCATACCCTCATGAGACAAAGGTGTGATGTTATCTATGTACCAACGTGAAAATGTATCGTTAAAACAATACTTATGTAGAAAACTCCAAGGTGGTAAAATAATTTAAAGCAGTCGAGTACAATTAATAGCGTGTAATCTGAACAATGACAAAAAACAGATTGAAGAGAGGTTACGGAATACAATAATATTAACTACAATTACGCCTAATGTGCGCTCGTTCGCATCATTAGCCAGTCGAGTGTAATTGCCTTTATAAGGCAGTAGGCGCTTCGACAACTTAGGTTACTCGGAAATAAACAATTAGAACTGACGCACAGGTCGAACCCGCGGCTCCTTGTCAACTTGCCAGCGAATATTAGCTGAGCGTGTAGGCGGACTATTGTTGCGTACTAAATGACGATCTCAGTGACTCATATCAATGTTAGTCTTATGGGATTTATGTTGACCAGTTATTTTTTAAACGTTATAAATGATATTCTTCTTTCTTGTGTCCGTTTTGCAGACAGATGTAGGTGTGATAATTAATTTGATTTGTTTTATTTGTGGTATTAGGCGTATGAAATATGATAGACTGTAAAATTGTGAACGGATTTGTATTTGTCTATATGATTTCTATACTTAGACGGTTTTATAGTGACTGTCTGCGGTTGGTCTAGTGTTCGATTCCCGCGTCGGGCAAAGTATTATAGGAAAATTCTCAGTAGAAGCACGGAGTCTGGTATTGTGCGCGGCAATAGGCTCACCCCCTATTACATAGGACTCATAACATAAACAGTGAAAAGTGGGTGTTACATTGTACAGTGGCATAATGTGCCACTGCCTACCCCTTCAGGGATAAAAGGCGTGACGTGATGTTATGTTATGTCTGCGGTCACTTTTATGCATCATCCCAACTTAGTAAAGATGATTTATTTTATGTTTAATAATTTGATTATTAATTCCTTATTATTTGAATATTATTAGTTTTAATGTTTTTTTTTATGTTGTACGAAAGATTTTTTAAACACTCTACTATTTTGTATGATGGGCGTTTAATAGTTATAAATGAGTTAATAGATGTTACTGACGTTACTGTTTTTGATTATGAGCCCCTATCGTGGCTTGAAACTAGTCGAGCAGTCTACTCGAATGTAACATTAATTTTTTACTTTTTCAGTATCATTCCACCGGCTCTCAGTGGAGATAGACCTGACACTGGCTTGTTGTTGTGAGCTGAACACAGCGCTCGGCGGTGGGTCTGCCGCACCCCTCGTCACAGGTGTCGGTGTGGACATCCGCGCCGGTGATCTCTTCCCTGCCACATTCCCTGACAAAGGACCTGAACTGCCACTAAGAGGTGCTCGGACTATTACAAGTGGCCCACATTCTGGACAGGTATGGTAGTTTATATTCAAAGTCAAAGCATTTATTTTAATTAAACCATAATTTGGTACGTCAAAAATACAAAATAAATAATAGTCTGTCATAAATTATTATATTTTCGGCATACTCACGTAATAATTTGACGAGGAACTCGACTAGTTTTTATAGCGACGTTATATCGTCGCGAAATGCTGCTCATGAACATGAGCCTCTAGCATGGCTTGAAACTAGTCGAGTTCGATTATTACGTGAGTAAGTTGAAAACATAATAATTTATTTAGTATGTCTCACGAAAGTTACAATACAAAATAGTCTGTCAGTCAGTGAAGCTAGGTGCTCATTCCAAAATGTAGATTCGAATGGAGAAGAACGAGCAAGAAACTCCATTCGTTACTCTTTTTAAAAAGTATGTTCTACAATGTCTCTGATACATATTCCAATATTGTACGTATATTAACGCTTAACGCATTATACAAATTACAAAACTTACTAAAAAAAAAAAAAAAAAACAAAACAAAAAAAAAATCTTATAGTCTAACATGGTGCTCACATATGCATACTGACAATCCATAAAAATAGTGCTTCTATACAATAATATTAAATAAAGAAAGATTTTATTATCAAGTGAAAGGTAGTGGTAGTCTTAAAACAATTAAAAATTTGTATTTGTCCATCTCCATAACATAAAATCTAAAATTGATTCTTAAAATGTGCATAAGACCAAAGACTTTGCGGACATAATGTTACTTAGATATAAATGATTGAAGCACCAAAATGTCAGGGTGTTTTTATGTGTGCGTGTGTAATCGGTTACCACGTCACTAGACTTAAGAAAATGACAGATGTCCTTCGTGTCATTGTGTGTATGTTCTACGTGTAAGTGTATAGTAGCCAGGTGCCACAGTCGTTGATTCAAAAGGTTGGCCTCCGTTTTTTCAACGTCCTTGTATTCTTGTGTGTAATTTAACTTTTTAGTTTTGTATGGAATATATGAGCAGTTTCATCACCTGCACCATCTATGGACGCTCATAACACAAAGAATTGCAGTACCTATGTACCTAATGCTTTTAATGTGTTGTCCTTTGTAATATTGTCTGTGTAGGTACATGAAATGATAAAATAAATAAAGAAGTAACAAAGATGTCACCGTCCTTTTTTGAAGGGCGTGTCACGTAATTGCATTCTTGATCCTAATATTTTTTCTTTTTTTTTTGTGTTATGTATGTTTTTCTTTTTTTTTCCTTCCAGGTGCTAGATATATACGACAACACGGTGGGCCTGCTCCGCATCGGTCCCTTCAACTACGAGCCACTGCGCGGCGTGGACCTGTGGCTGGAACAATCGGATGACTTCATTCTGCAACATCTTAGCACTACACCCGCTGTGGAACCCCCACATTTCGTACACAATGTTAGTATTTGTGTAACTAGTGCCCTAATACTGAAAGGCTACTCAATTTTAAGTCGCGCTTAAGTATAGTTCTGTCTCTGCAAATTCTTTGTAAAATGACAGAGATGGCACGATATTTAAGTACAAATTACAATAGGGTAGATGCCTAAGTTTTATCTTATTGTCCGTCTGGTAAATTATTTTAAATCATTATACACGTATTTTTTATTTTCTTACAGAAACGAATACTTTCGGCGATATATTGATTTAAAATGTCGCGTGACGTCACTTCTATGTACATTTTATACGTAAAAATGACGTTTTAGCCCCCACTCCTAGACTTTGATTCGTTTTATCTAAGTATTCTTTTATTATACGACAAAATAAAAAAATACGTGTCTAATATTTTTCTTTACCTAACTTACGGGCTAATTAGATTTATAATTTTCATACCCTGTCATCATCCTAACTGTCGAGGAATTACAAATGCGTCGTCAGCCTTTTGGCAAGGGGAATGGGTCATCAGTAAGATCACGCCACGCGGCGAAACATAGCGCAAGCGTTGATACACGCCTATTTGTTCTATTTACTGCCTCTGCCCCCTGTCGAGGACTGCCTCGTTGGCCGAGTGGTTGCAAGTGCGACTACCGGGCAAGGGGTCTCGGGTTCGATTTCTGGGTCGGGCAAAGTATTACTGGGTTTTTAAAAAAATCTCAGTAGTAGCACGGAGTCTGAAATTGTGCCCGGTATAATTATGGCAATAGGCTAACCCCCTATTACATGGGGCTCATAATATAAATAGTGAAAAGTGGGTGTTACATTGTACAGTGGCATAATGTGCACTTCTGCCTCCGCCTTCGGGGACAAAAGGCGTGATGTTATGTTATATTTGGTTCTATTCACATCGAAGCATGGTTCTTGAAAACTAGCACATGATTCTCCTGGCTTTGGTCCGTATCTCGTGTCAAAGGAAAAATATTAAAATATTCTCAGTAACACATTTAATACATTTAATAACACTTACACATCAATTTTAACCTAATTCTATCCCCTTTTCAGATCCGTGTAACCCTGAAATTCATACAGCAGCACCCGTTCCCGGCTGTGACAGTGTTCCCGGACAATCGCTCGCATTATTACCGCCGCGACGAACAATCTGGGTGTTGGGTACCCATGCGCTTCTAAACACATACAAATACTGATAAAACTACCATTTTTATTAAATTCAGTAGTATTTGTTTCTGTAGGACTGACATTTTAAAATATGTAGGGCAAAACTGGTCATCGTCTTCATCATCATCAACTGCTGGATAAAGGTTCGCTGGGCAAAAGTGGTCGTGTTCGAAAATTCAATATTTAAATTTATTGTTTTTGACGATCAATGTTTTTGATTGAGTGGCGCTGGCATCGCTTTTAAGGGACCTTTAGCTTCCATAAAAAGTAATAGAATTAAGACTAGTTTTGCTCGTTAAAAAGTATAAAAGATATTGATAAAATAATTTAAACACAATTAAATTGTCACCAGTGTTTGTTTTAGTTTTGAAAATCAGCTAGATTGATAGATTGTTTAGTTCAGAAAAAGTAAACATATCAGAATAAATGTTAGAATGAACTACGAAATTATGTTACAAGATAATAATATTGAGAACAACTCTATATGACTGTTTGAAAAAATACCATGAAATATATACGTAACTAAATATTTAATTAAAATAATAAGTATGCAACTACATGTATAAAAATGGTTTTTGAAAATAATGCTTCTGATGAAATTTCTAAAAAATACATGACACTTCCATTTTTAGTATTGGCAAGACTTAACGGGGTTGCCATAGGACAAAATGAAAAATGACATAAAAATCATTCTCTCTATTCACAGTGCTAGTAATTTATTTTTCATTATTTTAAAATTCATACGATCAATATGACTATTTAGTCTGTTTGCGCATTGGAATAAGATCTAAAATAGTATACCAAGGGACATTTTCATTTTGTACCTTTTCCAATGATAATGCTGTTATTTTATGCTACGTTTTATAAGTGACTCATTTTCTTTCAAGCATTTCAAAGACATTCTTTAGAAAAAGTACACTCCAGCGTACCGAACTACCCCCAGATGTCAAGTTTATATAATACACTTTCAGTCTTACTGATTTGTAAGAAAGTTGACAATAGCTTGATGCTATGTAGGTGAGCTTGATGTGTTGGAGTGTACATTTAAATATTTTTGTTTTATTGTGATAATGGGGAAGACGACTAATTTTTTTTTTAATGTCCGTCTGGTAGATTATTTAAAAACATTAGACACGTATTTTTTATTTTCTTACGGAAACGAATAGTTTCGAAGATATATTGATTTGAAATGTCGCGTGACGTCACTTCTCAGTACATTTTATACTAAGAAATGACGTTTTAGCCCCCACTCCTAAACTTTGATTCGTTTTATCTAAGTATTGTTTTATTATACAACAAAATAAAAAAATACGTGTCTAATATTTTTTTATTACCTAAGTTACGGACTAATTATATTTTTAATTTTCATACCCTGTCATCTTCCCCATTGAGCTAATAATGTGTTATTTTTTCATTTATATTATCATAGACAAAAGTAAAGCTTTGACCTTATGAGTTGATACAAAAATATTTGTTGAAATAGGATGAAAATAAATTTTTATTTAATTTTATACGGTGTAACAGAAAAGCATACAAAGAAAAATTTGTTTAAGGGTCGAACATGAACTGCTCGATTTGTTACCCAGTGATTCACATACACGGACTGCTCTTGAGTCAACAGCTTAAAACTAGCCAATGATAACTGCTCGACCAGTTAGCAATTTCAATTACATCGTCATTTTTAATAGCAAACTGAAGTGACTTGCAATGAAGAGCGCGGGCGGGAGGGAGGGGCACTGTAACTCAGTGTATGCCTGGCGACTGGTCGGCCGCATCATTAATTATGTCAACTGCACGAAGCAGTTAGAACTGCTCTACTAGTCCGTGTATGTATGTAGAAGTCTGTAGTTTACAATGTAGTCGATCCTGACTACTTCAAGAAATCTGTGAATGGCGGTTTTAATTGCTCTGTTATATTTTGGTGTATATTGTAATTTACTTAGTGCTCCTTAACTTAAATAGGACATTATTGAAAGGCCTGGTTAAGCTATTATGGTAAATGAAAGAAGAAAAGTTTCATCGCATCCTATTAGAATGCATTTAACTCATTTTTGAATTTCGAAACTATTTGAGTGAGTTGCAATATTGGGCGATCTAAGAAGTATAAAAAATGCGGAAACAATGTTGCTACACACAAAAAATACGCAAAAATTAATTGCTTCTTATTTTTGTATGTAAATATAAAATTGATAATGTTAATAAGTTATGATAATTGTATATTTTGTCATTTTCGTTTATTTACTTCCAGTTACATTTTAAGTTTTATTACGATTTTTTTCTTGCTTTCAAAGTATACGGCAGGAAATGAATTTAGAATTGATTGAAAATTGTCAGAACAAGTTATGTTGTAAATATTATAGTGATTTAGATATAGTTAGTGACGTTATTAGTTATTGTTTTGTGAAATATTATGAATATATTGAAAGTTCAAAGGATTATTTTGTCTATTTTTATTTCCTGTACCCCTTTCTTCCATTACTTTCTTTCTTTCACCACGTTTCCGCTTACTTTCACCATGTGTGGGAGAGCCATGCTTCGGCATTAATGGGTGGGCTCGACCAAAGTGATATCATGACCTCACAGAACACCGACGTGAAACAACACTCTTGCGTTGTGTTTCGTCGTGTGATTGAGGTTACCATAGGCCCAATTACGCCTGACCCTTAGGCTTAGGCCAATTCTCAAATCATAATCTCCAAAAAGCTTATAATGCACTTGTAGCACCTCTGGGGTTTTGGGTGTCCATGGGCGGCGCCGATTGCTTCTATAAAATAACATATTTGGTAGACACTATACCTACATTGACGTCCACTGTTGGTACAATGGCTCTTGTGTAACGTGCTAACGGTAACGGTTCAATTCCCACATGAATTATTTTTGTGTGGTCCACAAATTGTGGTCTGTGGCCTTAGTACTTAGAATGTGCATTCATTTGCAGATGCAGCCACGATTCAGGCAGTCGCCCTTGCGACTTAAACCTAAATATTAATAAATCGCGAAGCAAATTGTTTTTGCTGATATTCCTGATATAATGTCCATAAGTTATGAGAAAAATCCATTAGAAGTGTTAACAAATTTGAATTAACATTAGATTTACTTTCATCAAATATTAAGATAATAGCGGTAGGTTTATTAGGAAAATATTGAGGCGCCGAACGACATTGCAGGTTCCGGCTAGAAACAGGAGTTGGAATGGGCTAGTTTCTTTTTAAGTAACTGTCTGAGACTCGCTCTTGCCTCATTCAAAGCGGGAGGAGTTATTCTGAGATTTTCTCCAATCAAAAATAGGCCTATGTTAGAAAATACCTACTAGACAGACACATAAGTCATCAGACTTATAAAACGGCATGCTTATCAACTCTCACGACAGCATATGAATTCCCATCATATAGATGGTTGGTAGGCCGCTTCTCTCGTAGTTTTCTGTCTCGCACAGCAATGATCCGTCTGCTCATTTGCCTCCTATATTCTATAAAAAAAAATATTTTATTGATATTTACAGGGTATAAAATCTTACTAATTATGTAGTCATCAATAATAATTTCCTCTTAATCAATTACTATCTTTAAAGTATTTTTTTATGATTGATCATAAAATCCTGATTTTTTCATTCATTCCTCTGTGATGTGTGCTGTCATTGTTGTCAATTATCACTGTCAGTTATATGGTCCCAAGTTGGCAACATTACTTTTGACTTTTGACAGCTGGTTTGTGAACTCAACTCGCAGTTTTGTTAGTTTTTGTGTAAAAGAATTCTTTCAACACATTTTGTAAAACCATCCTGAGGCGTCAAACTGTTAACAATATGGAAAAGCCACGAGTTACAGAGCAACCACCACCATATTCCGCCACCGTCTTACCAGGTAAGAGTAACAAAGTTTGTTTGTAAGAAACCTTATTTGTGAATGAATCACAATAAAGATAAGCTGTTCGATTATACTGCGTAATGTTGCAATTCGGCGTTATTATACATAATCACCTCAGTTATCCTATATATTTGTGTAGAGCGGATATAAACGATTATTGTTTTGTCTATTTTTTGTTTGGTAAACACGAAAGTTAGGTTGGTGAGTTATTTGTTAATGTTATGTTTGCAGGGCCTGTCCCGCAGCCGGCTGGTGCTCCGGGTGCGCCGTACCCGCCTCCCCCACCCGGGTATACCCCGTATGGAGTGCCTCCACCTCCAGGTACGGGATTTGTGCCCAACTATGGAGCCACAAGTATTATCATTCCACCCCCCATAATAGCCGTGGGTGCGTGTCCGGCCTGCCGAGTTGGCATACTTGAAGATGATTTCACGTGCTTGGGTATCTTATGTGCTATTCTATTCTTCCCTATAGGAATCCTATGTTGCCTCGCTTTGAAAAACAGAAGATGTTCTAATTGTGGAGCTCTATTTGGTTAGACGGATGACAAGCTTTGTTAAATGTTTTGAATAAGAAATGTTGAATATTGAAAGGTTTATGAATGGAATAATGGTTACTCGTTATTATTTACATTGTTATTTATGTTAAAACATAGTAGTCATGCACTAGATTGGGAACAAAATGAAGTTAAGGAAATAAGTAAACAAAAATGTGTCCTTGTTTAGATAATTCTTCATTTTCTATTTTTACCGTAAATAAAACTTAGCTCTACAACTATGTTTTAGCATAAGTATGGTCAGTTTATTTTATTTATGTAACAAATATACAAAATACTGATGATTATATTAATTAGTATTCAAGGTCGCTGACCATTAACATTCTTGATAATCTGTTGAAATGTGTCCGATATAACAAAAGCAACATCAAAATGAAAATGACTCACAGGTAGATGACAGCCATTAACTTATCAAGAAGTTAAAGTATGTATTACTCCATTAAAAATATCAGTAATAGTGATGAATATTTAAAAATAGACTATAAGCACAATTAACCAACAATTGTTATAAACTAACTACTTCCACATGGTTATACCTCTCTGCTCAGCTCCTATTGATCGCAGCATGATGTTTTATAGCCTATAGCCTTCCACGATAAATGTACTATCTAACACAATCGAACCAGTAGTTCCAGAGATTAGAGCATTCAAACAAACAAAATCTTCAGCTTTGATATAAAACTACTTTTTGTCCGCATATATCACGCTTTAAACTGTCAAACACCAAGCGGTCACCGGTGACCGCAACCTATTGTTCTATAATTGTGTCTACAAAACCGGTACTCGACAAGTTTTGACTAAAACTACAGATACTTTATCCTTAAATAAATGAAACTCGTGGATATTGTTATCACAACTGTGAGATAATATTGTTTTTGTTAGTATCACACCACATTGCCTTAAAATATCCAGTTTGAACTGGAACAGCTCCAATATTTAAATTATATATAACTTATAAATCAGAGCAATATTTATACAAACAAAATATTTTAAAAGTATTTTTCGCATACAATAACCTTTATGTAGAATTTATTTTTCATGTCTCTGAAAGTAATGTAGTTTATTTTAAATAGGTTTATTTTATCTTATTATCATGTTATATGTATTTAATTATTTATGTTATGCTGATATTTTTTCTAGTATTTTCGAATACCTATTAATAAGAATTATTTTGAGTAATTATAAGTTTACAGTTGGAACAGAATCTGTTATATCTTGCACTATATTATTGTTTCTCAAATTTTACGAACAGCATTTAAAAATAGTTAAAAATTCAGTGTTGCCATAAAAAATAAACAAAAAAATTATTTGCCAGTAAAAGATAAGAATGTTACAGTTGATAATTCTTTCAATTTTATTATATTATGTTTATTTTTTATAATTTTTATGTGATTTCTATGCTAGTTACATAATATGTTTTTGCATTAAAATAAGTAGAATTTCCTAAAAGTATAATTTTAAGATATTTTTTGAAATTATTAAAAAAATTAAGTAGGTTACAGTGTGTGTGACGTCTAAAGTTCTCCAAAACTGTCTATTTTGAATTTGCCTTATTTTGCATAGGAAAAAATCGAAATTATGAAAAAAAACATGATCATAAAAATATTGGACTCGTATATTTTGCTTTGGCATTGATACAATTTCCATTATATGTAGATAAGGAGAAAGTACCCAAAACATAACCATATTTTTTAAATATACATATGTCCAGTATTTTTTATTGATCTACACAAAAACAAATAGGAATTCATCGTCCCGTCAAAATTCATTCATTAGTGACTGCATTGGCTCATATTAGTGTTATAAATAGGTAATGAATAAATATTAAATATCTAAGTTTAAGTATATTCAGAATTAATTATTTTATTCAATTATAATTATTATTGTTTGCATATCATATTAGAGGATATTAAAAAAAAAATTGATATTGGTCATGTAAATTTAGGTTTTATTTAATATTGGCCCTAATCATACTTCACTTTACAATAAAGTTCATTTAACTAAGAATAAACGGATGCCAATACTAAATAAATTTCCTAAAATACAACCAATATTCAACCTTAGGTATAATGCTGTAAGGTCAAGAGTAAGCTGAAATCTGAGTAATAAGTCTATTTGATAGAAAATTAGGAAGTGCAATATAGAAAATAAACAAAAAAAAAATGGAATTGGCATGTTATTCACCAAAGCAAAAAAAAAAAACAATGCGATTTAAAACTTTATTAATAGAATTTATAGTAGTGTTGCTATCAAAAATTATGCCTGATCAACATTCGGTTTTTTAAATTATATTTTCGTTTCCATTTAGTAAATAATTTTTTTTAGCTACTGCAGCTAAATAATCTGAGTCTAAAATGTAAGCTAATTAATTATGAGGAAATATCCTTAAGTTTAAAGTTTATATTAAACCCCTTTATTCATAAACAAGTTATATGTGTCCAAGGGGTGATATTTCAATCGACGGATAAATCTTTAATGTTGTAAACAATAAAATTCATATTTGACAGTTTTAGTATGGATCAATTTGTCAAATAATCCATACTAAAATGTCAGTCAAAGTTCCATGGATAAAATTTATCTGGCGTTGGAAAACCGACCCTAAATTAAACTTGTAACTTAAAGAACAATTATATTAAACTTATTTTATCCTTAAACTTACTCTTCAACTTTATTACTAGTATAAGTTGATATGAGTGTATGTAAAAAACCTTGTAATGAAACATGGGACATAGACAAACAGGGTCCTGTTTGTCTATCAAAAATTTCTATGTCTAATGATTTGACACTAGTAAATTTTCTATTGAACATATTTTAATTTTACTAGTCTACTAGCACCTTGTCGAAAATGCTGGCGCCTCTTGCAAAAAATCTTGGCATTGTCAAATATTTACATGAGTAAGCTTCGGCTTACTAATAAACATCAATCAATCAAGTGTCTATTTTCAAACTTTTGCCTTGTCAAGATACAAGATCGAAACATTATCGTACCTCTACTCTCTCATTGGTTGGTTCATTAGAGCAAGCAAATCAGAACGCTGAACCCAGTAACGTTTCGATCTCCGTTTCTTGTAAAATGTTTATGAATTAGGGGTCTATAGTTAAGGTAAATAATTATAATAAAAACTGATAAAGTAAACTCCAAAAGTACTGAATTGACTGTGTATATTTTGAAACTCTTTACAAATATTATTTGCGATTGGAACTGAAACATTGTAACGGTTTTTTTTAAATGAACGTCATTGCAATCCTTTTTAAAATAAGATGTTGATTTAAAGCAAATGTGTGAGTTATGTTTGGTAACTGGTTGTTTAGTAAGTAGGATTATTAATGTATATTTTTATTAGAATAATGCGTAGAAGGCACGGAGCAATCATCTCAGATTAACGGCAGATTTGATGGTGAATTTCATTTGCAATTTAAAGAAAAAATAGTATTGTTAAATCATGAAAGATAGTAAGAATGTAGTTATTGGCGCCCAATTAGAGATACCCAACAATGTTCCATGGCAATCACTATTTACTGACCGTCCTCTACATAAGAAGAACTTGCTATAATCTTCGCGATTAACAGAGGGATTGGAGACCGCAACTTAGATGGTTCAAGTCTTGACTTATCTCTGTTAAACGTGTAGTGCTTAAATCGGATGTTATGACACGCAGAGACGAGTATGAGTGGTCAAAAGACGGCAAAGGTCTCTGTTGGGCGCCAATAAAGAATAGTCAAAGAGACCTATCTTCAATGGTCTCTGTCATCTCAAACTGTGATGTTGCAATGGAAATACAAGAATGATAATGTGTGAGTTAGAAATAGGTGGCTAGAGTGATAAGTAAAGGCTTCTAAAGCTAGCAATATATTGATGTTTTAAATCAACATCCCTAAAAGCCATACTAAGTACTGAATAGGTTAGAAATAATACACCATCTCCTCATTGAATTGTTGACAAGTGAAATGTTATTTGTAAGTAAACGTTTGAAAGATCTAAGTATATAATTATGGTATACAAAACTATGTAATTATTATTATATTTATACTATAGGTTTTTCAATAAAGTTTGGGAATAAATTGTGGTTTTATTTTAATTGTTTACATTACATTACATTCGACTGAATTTAAAAAAGAAGCAGTTCAATCTGACTATTCGAATTGAAATAGTATGGAGTTGTCGCATTCAAGTTTTTATAAACCTTCACTTGGCTTGGTATCATTTTGAGTTCTCTCTGAGACAACTAGGTGGCGCTACGTTGGTGTGAATTCTTTTTACCATTGTACCTACATAAAATCTTAATATTATTTTTAACGATTGTTATCACTTTGTTACTTCTGAGAATTTTGAAATAATATGAAGCACAGTTTGTCTTCGAACACATCTTAAACTCGAATCTGAAACTCGTATACTCCTTTACTTAACAATATGACAATTTGCCATTCACATTTTACTATAATCTAGGTCACTAGTAGGTATAACTGCAGATTGTCAGGTTATTATCGGATTAACACACACGATTAACGTTTATTTGGACGGCCATTACAGAAAGCGCGCGTAATTTTCGCGGTTATTTTGTGGTGACATAAATTCGGTCGATTTGGCGCGGCTATCGGAGGCCCTCAGGCTACCATATTGGAAACCTAAAAACCATCTCACACTATATATCAAGCTCCACAATTTATTATAATCATTTAACATTCTTTTGAGCGTATCTTTTTTTAACAAAAAAAAATGTTGCCCCACGTTTTGATTTTCGCCTGTATCGTGGGTGCGTTTGCAAACATACAAGTTCACATACACATGACACCCAGACCCAGAACAACAATTTTTGGATCACACAAAGGGTCAACTCACACCGAAAGAGCGGCGAAGGGCAGCGAAGCGGAGCGCAGTTTCAGTTTCATATGAATTTTAACTTTATTATCATCACCATAGTACTTATTATCGCATGAGAAACTCGAACGAATCGCGTGGATGCCCGCGGCGCCGCAGGAATTTTGGGGAATTTCATAAACGGAGCCGAGCGACTGCGTGAGAAGTTGCGGGAAGTCCCGAGAATGTTCCAGCAGTCACGAGCGGCCGCTGGCAATCACCCCTCGCGCGCGACTCTTGCGCGCGAGCATAAGCATTAATTCCTTTCAGTGCAACAATACTAAGGCGGCCAACCGTCCCGCATTCTGCGGGACCGTCCCGTAATGCTAGATGTAATCCCGCTTTGAAATAATTTATAAAATAGTCCCGTAAAACGTTAGATGCGTCCCGCAAGTCCCGCATACCTATTTCTCTACTACACGACACAACCACACGCACTAACAACACTAACAACAGCGCGAATAAATGAAGATAACTTGTTTGACGAAGTAAGTTATGTGTGTGAACGTGAACAATGATGTCCTAAAGAGCTAGTAGGAGAGAAAAAGTTCAGCACAGAACAACATTTTTTTTTGTAGGAGGAATATCATCCAATGACTTCTTCCGCCTTGGATTAGGCGAGAGGCAGTAATAGACTCTTACTGACTAAAAACCACCCCGTTCCTACTCCTGCTTAGGCCTTCCGCGGCTCCGTATAGGGCAACAGTCAACAACACAAAAAGTCCCGCATTGGACTTTCAGAAAGTTGGTCGCCTTAAACAATACAGAAGTGATGGAAGATGAAGAAAGGCTTATTTGTTTGGTGCAAATGTACGACTGTCTATACAATACCAAATCAAGGCATTACAGCAATAAACACATGAAAAATAACGCTTGGCAAAAAGTGGCGCTGAAATTAATATGTCTGGTTAGTATGTATTTCTACATAGGGGCCATTCAAGTATCACTCACCCCCATGGTGCTTACGTAAGCACCATGGGGGTGAGGGGGTCTCTGTTTCGCTTATTTTGGATGATATGGGGATAGGGGAGTCTAGATGATGATTACGTCATCGGTAGTTATTTACTTTTTTACACGAATAGCAACCCTCAGATTTAAATTATAAATTACAAGCAAAGACCGACAAAGAACTAGACATTATGGTAT